TTTTTCTGCCACACTAATTGTTGCTGAAAATATTTGACTAACTATAAAAATGTAGCAGCAGAATATTAAATGATTTAGAAGGGCCTTGAAAATAGCGCAAAAAAAGATTATTTATTTGACAATATTCATTCCAATTGTTGAATTTAAAAAAAAAAAACTTGTTGCTCAAAGTTTAATATATTATTGAGCCCACTACTGTTTTAGCAACAATTGACGATGACAAACGATTTATGATGATGGTAATGATGCTGTCACTGTGTCCTATGAACAGCTGGTGCTGATCTGATGATTTATCGGCGTAATTGTATTTGAAATGATTCATCGATCGCCTTTTTTTTTTTTTGTTCCATTGACAAATTTAATACTAATATTTAAAGCTGTTGAATATAACATTTAAGCCGGTTAGTTTAGGTAAATTTTTGCATTTATATTGCCGCTATTTGATTTTTATTCTTTTTTTGATCACTAGTTTTTAGTTACAATTTGCGGGAACAAGTGATACAGAAAAACTAAAGTTTTTTGAGCTTTTTTTTTGACTGTTTCATTTTATTGCTTTTTTTTACTGCCACTTATTTTTTTTTTGTTTATAAGTAGGGTTTTTTGTTGATTTTTGGCTGTGTTTGTAACTGTATTGTTCATTTTGCGGTTATACGGTACGCTGACAAAAAAATTTGATGTTTTTTTTTTCTTTGCAAACAATCACAAAGCTTATTTCAACTTTATTCGATAAAAAAGGACAAGTCTCATTCATTTACATTTATTTATTTACTTAATTTCATCCTTTTATCGACCACTTACAATAAGTTTTGATGAATTTAGACTATTCCAGTGTCTCTGACACTGATAGAACTGCAAAAATTTTAATAACAATTTCTTTAATGAATTTAACTCAGTTATATCTAAAAAATTTTTTCAAGTTATTTTTTGTCTCTATCTGTCAAATTTTTTTCTCTAATGTATAAAATACTAGAGAATTTCAAAATATGAAATAAGAACGATGTTTATATAAATCAATTTAGCACCAAAAATTTTTTTTATTTGCTGAGAATTTCATAAATTTATGCTACAGAGAAGCACTGATATATATATATATCTGTTTTATTTTATAGGTTTTATAAAAAGTGTAAAAAATGATATTAGCAGTATATATTTGCTAAATTGACTAATGCAAACTTGATTTCGTTATGCTAAAGACAGATCAATTAAGAAATTTATAACCGTGCTTGATAAATTTGTCTTCTATTGCTCTTGTTGTCACACTGATAATTAGCTAAGTAAAATCTGCTGCTCTCATTTGTTTTATCGTTGAAAAGGTATTTTTCATCATTTATATTGAAGACAAAAACTGAGTAGAAATAATTTTTTTTCTGTGGCAGAGAGGTAGGTATGTAATTTGTTGTCAACAAAACAGAGGTATTATTTCAAGCAAATTTTTGCTTTAATTACAAATGCTGCTGAACTCCTGATAAGCTGAGCTTATTCTAACTTTCCAGTTAAGCACACCATATAATGGCAGAAAAAGATAATAAAATTTATTGATGACAACTGTTAACAATATGGAAATGACAGAAGATTCTGCAGTAGTTCCCATTTGTTCAACCTCGTTCCACCCAGATGTCAGATTATCCAAAAAAGTAAATGCGTAACTATTTTTTACTTATTTTGATTTTCTTTCTTAAGACTAAGTTTTTATCAAAGTAGGTCAAATTAAGAAGCCACTTCTTATTTTAAGTATTATCTGAATTTTCAATAAAAAAGAACTAGTTTTGAAGTTTCCACTATTGTCTAATTTTACCGCATTACACAGGAATTATTGCATTCTGGAAACTTTTGTAAAAGAAGCAAAAAAAAGTAACAATTTATTTCTGAAATTTTTTTGGCAGACCATGAGGAACATAAACTTTAAATAAAGGTACTATGTTTTATTATTAATCAAATAAGTCATATGAAAAGTAGATTTATTAGATCATAAGCCGATATTTAAAGACTTGTCACAGTCTGAAAGAAAAACTTGGGTTTTTTAGCCATTTTCCGGTAGGCTTTGAAGATGAACAAAAGAAAAGCTGTGTTTGCTAAAATGACTAGGTTATTTTATGCGCGAAAAAGAAAATTTTAACCTAAATTAAGCGTATTTTAGGAATTAGATAAACGGCGGGGAAAAACCTTATCACAGAATGACAGTTCACTATCTGCCATTACAAGCAGTCTTAATGCCACCACTATTATGTCAAATTTCGTTTCAAGGTTTCAAGATATTTGATTTAACTTTTGGTTTTACGAACGGTTTTTTCTTGTACTATGACCATTTTATGAATGCTATTTCATCTAACTGACTGGTTATCTGTAATGGCAAAGTTTCAAGGCTTAAAAAGATCAATGGTGAACCGGCGGTGTTTTTGGTATCTGTTGCAATTGGTCTATTATCAACTTTACAGCCCCTTTTTCTGTATTGGGCTACATGCATCAGAACTTACAATTCAGTTAATGTAAACCTGTTTTATAAATAAACATTTTAATTATTAAGAAAAAGTCATTTACTTTTATAGTTTAAGCGTTCAATATTAAAAATATCTAGAATTTATTATATGATTAATGGAACTTATTTTATATGTTGCCCATAGATGATAAGCTATTTAGGGAACAGAAGATAGTGCTGCTGAAACATGTGCATCATTATCCAAATCTGAATATGCTGCCTATGAGGATGCGGTTCAAAAACAAGTTTCAACAATGAAAATTTTTTTGCAAATGACATCTGGAATTTTGTCATTGATTGTTGCACCAATTATTGGCACTTGGTCTGATGAAAATGGAGGTTGACTTTAACGTTTATATTTCTTTTTCTAATACTCACTTTAACAGCTATATACATCTCATTAAGAACGCAAAAAACCGTTGTTAATTGGTCTTGGAGGCTTTTGTGCTTATGCTATCGTTCAATTGATTGCCATCGTGTCATACAGACATTTAAATGCCTATCATATACTTCTTTTTGGCGAAGCGATACTGGGTTTGATTGGAGGTGTTGCAACCATTCATACGTTCCTGTTTACAATTGTCACTGATGACTCCAGAAACCAGATGAGCGCTGTATTAATTTTTTATCACTTTTTTCTTCTCCTGTTTCTGACTGACAGTACAACCTCGCAATTTTTATTTTTTTTATCAAAAAACTTTGTATTAATGAGCCTGCTTCTTGCAGGCTTCTTCAAATGTACCAATTCGTATCGCTATCTCGAGTGCTGCTCAAGCTTTGGGACAAATGGTTGGAAGTCTTCTTGTATCACTGTGCAGCGTATCGGCTAAAGTATCTGTATCAAGACACGTTAATGGATATATAAATTCGGTATTTGTCGGTAATGCGTTTTCTTTCGTCACCCTAATCTATGCTATTTTTGCCGTCAGAACAGTCAGCTACGCTAGTGAGTTTTTCTTGCATCTTAATAAGTCATACTGCAGAAGGGTATTTTATTGTTTTTAGCTTAATCTTTACTAAAGTTTACTGCAGAAACTGAAAGCAGCGTATTTTCTATTCGCGTTCTGCAAAATGGTTTCACTAATCTTCCAATTGATAGATGGAAAGAGGCTGCACGAAATTTCTTTTACAATATCTTTGAGGTTGTTCTTAAGCCTCGACCTGGCTGGACTAGATTTTGCTTAAACTTATCTGCATTTTCAATCTTTGCTGAATATCTCTCTCTTGGTAAATTTCTAATTATGAACTGAAAAGTCACAGTTTGCTTTATAAAAAAATTCACATAACGTTGCTTAAGAATCAGATTTTATTGTATTTAGTAAACTGCTCATCATCTTCTTCTTCTTCTTCTGAATGTTTTTTCTATTGTCACTTGCAGATAGTCAGTTGTTATTGCTGTTTGTTAAACGTGAACCATTTTCATGGAGTGATAATCTATATGTGTTCTATAATGTAACTAAAGCATTTATATTCACTGTGGGAATGATAGTTTTTCCATTGATTATATCAAAAACAAATTTTATTGGAAAAGGTTAGACAGATTTTCACTGTTAAACATTAAAATTAGATTTTGCTGGATCAACTTCTCAGTTCTTTAGACTCAGTTCTGATTTTATTGGGAGTGTTCGCTGGCAGCGTTCAAAGCTTCTCAATTTCTGTAGCAAGCAAAACCGCCGAACTTTTTTTGGGTTATTTTTCTATTCTACTAATTAAAAAAATACAGTTCTAGTTTAAGTCTGTTTTTAACTATGACTTGTGTAAACCTTTAAATTAATAATATAAAACTTTTTAACTTTCTTACTGTATTTTCTGTTTCACGAGTTGTAGGGTAACCAGCTTTTAGATAAAATATTAAAATTTGAAAAGCATGTTAAATGTTACAAGAGATTATAGTGCTGACTAGGCAAGTTTTTACTGCTCAATTTTGATTATCTGTGTAAGAACAACTGTGTTTTTAGTAGACGAAACTGTGAAATCTTAGCGAATAAGCGAAAAATACCATTTTTTTTCAGCTACAATATGGTCTTTTTTTGCCGGAGCGATTGGACCAGGCTACCGTTCTTTGCTTCCACGATTGGTGGCTAAAGAGGAGACCGCACGATTATACACAGTGTTCAGTCTAATAACGGTCAGTTATTAGCAACTGACTCTTTTTCCAGTAAAACGATGTTCAAGTTTCTTTGCAGTTAAACTGGAGAAATAAGCGGAACCAAGTTAGAAGTCTTCGTAGAGAAGTATGAAAACTTCAAATAGAGTAACAAATTAAATGACTGCCATAGAAGCTTTAGCAAATAAATCTTTTATTTAAATGTTTTGGTTAAGTGCGTATTGAAATGTGATGAAGCATTTCAGACTGCTTACACAGTTTTGATTAGCAATAAATTAAACCTATTTTTTCTGTAAAATACTTTTCAACTATTTCTGATTCAGAAGCTTTAAAATAAAGTGCTTATTTGTTAAAGTGCTTCTTCTTCTTGAAGAAATTTTTTTCTGCAACAGGGGAGGTATGAGAAATCTATTTTCTCAAGATTGGACTGTACTCAAAAAGAAAAAGTTGGCTGTATAAGAATAACGTAGGTTAGACCAAAAACACAAAAAATGTTTTAATTTTAATGAAAGAGCTATGTGCTACCAAATTTAAGCAAAAGCTTTTTAAATCATGAAAAATGCTTTTTTTGATGCCTTTTATCTGTTTATCCGTCTTTTTTAGGTTGCGTCGCCAATTATCTCATCGGTGGTTCTCAATAATATATACAATTTAACTCTCAATGTTTGGCCCGGTTTTGTTTTCTGTCTTTGTGGAATAATTCAAATATTCGTTTTTGTTGCACAGTTGTAAGTAAAGTTCGCTGTTTTTTCCTTTCCTTTATTTTTTAGGATAGTCACTGTATAGCAGCTTACAGGCAATTTCCTCGAAATACTTGAAAAATTAGTTATTTGTAGACATTAGTCGTAAATTTAGTAAGAATTTCAGAAATTCAGAATTCAAGTAAACATCTTTTTTTCTATAGATTTTCACTTTTATTTTAGAGTTACTCATATCCTTATGCGACAGCAGTGGTCAAAGAAACAAACGGATCAAACAAATGTAACTAATCAATTAGATTCTGAAGCTACAACTTCTCTAGAAGCTTAAACACAACCTGCAACTAGTTTTTGTTTTACCATTTTGTGCCAATTGATATAACATATTTTTAACATATAGCTTAAATCTGATACAGAGAGTGTAAAAATGAAATCTGTAGATGGGTAATAAACTTGTACGCAGAGCTATTTCTGTAAGTAATCCACTTTTTTTCAATATGGATTTGCAATATATGCCAAAAGTCTGCTTAATATTTGATTTCCAAAAAGCATTTTTGAGTTCTTCGTGGTAAAATCAAATACTTTTTTGTTTCTGCTATGCTTCAGACCTTTCTGAAATTTCAGATCTCGTCTTGCTTTCGTGCGATAACCTCATTTCTGATTCACTTTGACATCTTACAAAACATAAGCTTTTGTACAAAACTTGTCTTTCAAATACAATGAATTTTGTCTATTTTCTTTGTGTGAAGTTCACTTTCGATAAAATTTTAGTTAATTACGCATTATATAATGAGCGCCTTCAGTTTTAAAAAGTGCTCTTAAAAAGTGCACTTTTAAAGCATCTTTTTCTACTTTCAAAATTACACAGACTTATTTGATTTTGCAAGAAGTTTGTTAGACCACTTGACAATTGTTTTTAACTTGACATAGAATAATGTTTATAAAAAAAAAAAGTTTTTGCAGAGGTATCTTGATGAATGTCCGTACTTGGAGTAAGTCTTTTCACTCCATATAACGAAAAGATGTTAAATTTTGGTTGTGGGCTAGTACACTTTAAAATAATAATTAAGATAAATTTAGCCAAAACTTTTCTATCATTTGATTAAGTTCTGCGACACTGAGCAAGTCAGTGCTGGTAACTTTAACAACTTCAGACGCCAAATCTGTTTTGTTGATGCCGAAGATGCCATTGTGTAACTATGCCACAGTTCAGTATTTTAGAGTCTGCGGAAACTTTTACTGCAATTCTGGAAGCGATGACTTTTTTCTTACCTGTTTTTTTTTATTGGTTGAAAGCCAAATTACGCCATTTTGCTGCTATTACGTATATAAATTTTTAAAAAGTTGTATCTTTAATAGGTTTTTCTTTGGTATTTGGAGCTTATAAGCAGAAACAAAAAATTGTAAATTTCGGGATTTGAAATGCATAAAATGCAATCGGAAAAGTTTTTTTGTACACCATTTAAATCTCGCATTAAAGTTGTGCTACAAGTCACAAATCTTAGCAAGGAAGTTGTTCATCAGTCTGCAGCAATTTTTATAAGTTAATGAAAAAATAACACCATAAGCAAAAAACGAATTAGGTAAACATTTCACGAATAAAATTCTGCTTTCTACTTCTCTTTGTAATTCTTAACAATTAAGACGAGTCTGCTTTTTGTTAATGCAGAAATTGAAAAATATTCATCAAAACTTTAAAAAAATGTTTCAATACTCTGGACAAAAACTGTTGGTGAAGTAAAGAGAGTTTCAAATCAAAACCACTTACGTTATTTCTTTGCAGTTATCCTATTTAGTCTTTTTTTACCTTGCGATACATTTTAGACGACAACTTGGAAACCAGGTTAAAAAATAAGACTGCAAGACATCGCATTGCAGTAAATTTAGTAACGAACCAATTTCTCTACAGAAACTAAATCATGTCCTATCAAATTGATTTGGTAATATTATATTGAAAAATATTGCGCTTGAAAAAACTTTATTTTTTTCTACTGGTCATCTTTTCAAAGTATAAAGTAAATTGCATAGATTCTGCTGCAGTACAGATAACTTGAAATATGAAAAATTTTAAGACATTATTTTCTGGCTACCAGTAATTTCTTTTGATTTGAGTTTTTTATCGCACAAACTTAATTGTCAGCGCCGAGCCGAATTAGTTTTAACAATAATTGACAAAGAAAAGCATACATTAAAAAAACCAGCAGGTTACTGCAGCTGCACTATATTTTTAAATTTTACACTGTAATAATCTTACTTAAAAATATTTCCGACTTTTCTTTATCTACGTTTGATCGATTTTGTTAATAAACATCATCCAGAACCCTTCAGACGAAATCTTAGTTGCAGTTCGGTGTCACACTACAACACCACCAATACAGTTAAAACTGTTTTTAGAAAGCATCTAAGTGTACACTGATTAGACAGAAACAACTTGTAGCTGCTGTTGCTTAATTAATGTTATAGAGCTGCCTTAAATATATGATAAAAATCCTAATGAGTCTATTTTACATTAAATTAGAATTGAGCAGAAAATTTTACATTGAAAAAATTTTCGCATACTGTACTAAGCTAAGCTCAGATCAACGCAAAAGTGTGCTACAGAACTACAAGAACTTAAAGTATAGTTGTTAGACAGTAAAAAGAAAAAATAAATTGTACGTTTTTACACACAAAACAGCTGCGAAATATCAGTTTTTTTAGTTGTAAATCTGTTTCAACAAGTTTCACAGTTTTACCTAATAATTATCAATACTCTTTCACTGGTTACATGTAACATCGGTATTCAGAAACTATCAGAGTAACTTATTTATTTTTTAAACTAAAAAAATTTTGAAAATTAAAAATAAACTGTAGAGGAAAAATTAATTGGATAAATTGGTTTTTTACGATGAAACAAAGATTGTAATAAATAATTAACAGCAGAAACAAAATTTTTAATTTTTTTTTGTTTTTTTTTTTTTTAAAACACAAACATAAGTAGTTCAAGAATTTCAGCTCTTCTAATGCTATTTATAGAACATAAAAAGCGAAATTGTACTTAAGACAAACTTTTGTTATTTAAATACAAGATTGATTACCTTTCCTTCATTTTTTCAAGAAGTATACCTAGACAGGTCTGAAAATGGTGGAAGAACCGACTTTGAATCACGAACTCTTCAAGGCTGCTAACAGCTGATGAAAGCGCTGCACTGCTTTTCACTCGTTATTACCATACCTAAGCTGCTGAAGATACCAGCACAGCTGCGTGGATGCAGCAGTATTTCTCAAAGCGCATGATAAAAATGTCTTGTATGTAAAAAGTTATATTTATTGAGAATACACAGATTAAAGTATAAGGCAAGATAACTATATCGTGGCAAGAAGACTGCTGATGGAACCGTGAGACAGACTTTAAACAGCCAGAATCCCCTCTTCTATAATCTTGTCGAAATTTAAGATTTAAGAATTCTTTCTTACTTTTTTTTTTTTACTTCTTTGCTGGAAAAGTTTTGGAAGTGTTTCTATTGGAAAATAATTTCTATAAAACATTAAGCGCTAAAGCTTACCTGCTGTTCACAGTTAGGTTAAAAATCTGCAGTAGACGATATTTTTATAAAGCACTCTGTCAATAATCATATTAAAAAAAATTTATATAACTAATATTACCACTTTTAAAGGTCTTCTTCAGTCTATATAACATGACTTTTACGTATGCACTATAGTATCATAAAAGTCATAACAATGCTGTGAAAAATTCGTAATGTAATCAAATAACACTCAGCTGTATAGACTTTATTAAGATGAAAGTGTAAAAGATGAAAA